AATATATTATTCATATTTACTGAAGTACATTAATTACCCAGTTAGATTATTTTGTAAAGAAGCAAAAATTTCACATAAGCCCAGAATTTCTTCACACATACTTGAATTAGAATGTTTTATTCCTTGTACAATTTTCTTATTTATCCTCTTATTTTACATATTCCTTCCACTCTGACTATATTTTAGATTGTCATGTTTCTATGTATTTACTTGCACATATTTCTGTCTTTCTCTTATTTCTGGTTTATATCTGAAGGCCCTTAATAAACAAATACTACTTCATCTTTTTAAAATCTGGAAAAAATATCTTAAAAATAGACAATGAATTTATCCTGAACAAATATAATTCCTCCATGTATTTTTCATTCTCATACCTATACATGAATATATAGATCTCAGTATTATGTTCAATGGTATTTCCATGGTCAAATTATTATATTTAAGTTCACAAACATGTCTACAATTATTTTTATGTTCTATATTAAGGCTTTGTGTTTTCTCCAATATTTGATTTCATTCATTTTTCTAAAGCCTTTTAGATCACATTTTATTCTAACATTTATTTATACTTTGTTGAAAGTCCTAGTATATTGTTTAACTTTTACAATATGTTATATCCTTTGAATTTTCATTGTTTGCTTCATTACCAAGTTTTCTTTTCAATAATAAATAGGATGTTAGAAGGAAAAGAATTTTTCTAGGATGCTTAAAAGTTCAAGACATTCTGCAGTATTGTGAGCAAGGCTTCTTTGCTCATTGTATTAATATTACTGATCTGGTATTTTGTTGCCTCTTGATTAATTAGATGGAAGTGAGTGTCGGTATTCTCCACTATTTTTCCTGAATTCGTCATCTTGTTTTCAACACCAAAGGGCTGATAACAAAGTCATTGAGAAAGAAATAGATCCAGAGCATCTCTCTGATGATAATTTTGAACCAGTAGCTCCTGAATTCCAAGGAAAAGAAGCCATCAGGTAAATCACACATATAGTTATACTAATTAATATAGGAGTGCAAGGCTAAAGAATTATTAACCAACAGCAACAGAAGAAATTTATTTTTGTTAACATCACTTTAAACTGTTCCATTGCCACCATCAGAAATGTCTCCTCTTACTCAAAAGGAAAATTCTCCTTAGCAGCTCTGTATATGTTACCTTGTCATGCTTCATCTTGTCTCCCTTCCTGCTTCTGTCTCTTGTCCCCTACCTCTCTTTTATACTTGTTCTTCTCATTCCCTGAACCCCTCCCTCCATGGTTTCACCTGGTTTATATGGTATGGCAGAAGAAGTAAGAAATGGGGAATCAGAAATTCTTAGATTCTAATACCACACTTGTCTCTCACCTGATGTATAATCTTGGAAAAACAAATAAGTTTTCCTGAGTATCAGTGTCTTCTATGAAACAAGGGTAACATCTACTATGTAGGATTGTTACAGGATATGGTATATAACGGAATCATATGAGGAACATTTAAAATATCTATGTTCTCAGACCCTGCCTACCTCCAGTGATTCTAACTCAGCAGGTTTGGGATGAAACTTAAGTATCTATGGAGTTTAAAGAGCTCTGTAGATTTTTCTACAAAGTTTGCAACAAAGTTAAAAAAAAATCAGAGCTTTAAATATTAACCATTTATTTATTTAGCAGACGTTCATATAGTGCTTATTCTGTACTAGACATATACCTCATTTTCACAAAAAGCTTATGAATCAGGTACTATTATTTTCCCCATTTTACAGTTGAGAAAAGTGAAATACTGAAAGGTTAAGTCTCTTGCACAATATCACATGACTTGTAAGTGGGGAGCTGGGATTGGAATCCAGACAGCCTGGCTCTAGAGTCCATGCTCTTTAACATCTGGTTAATTTGATAAATATAGGGATAGAGATATTAACTAAATGTTACATGGTCTAAAGGAGTGTCAACTACCCTAGTTTAGGGAAATTGAGCATGGGAACATATTTTTTTTTTAAAAGTTAAAAATTATGAAGAAATTTAGGCTTTTAAAGTTAATATATTCACCATCCAGGTTGAACCTATAAACATAGTATCATATTTGCTTTATATTTTTAATGAATGTATTATATGCTTATCTAAAGCCCCCTTTGATCTCTCTATAATATTTTCTCCCTCCCTCATCAGAATTGACCTTAATGATGGATTTGCGGGTGTCACTTCCCATCCATATGTACATATTACAGCATGTACTTACAGCCCTAAACTGCATGCTATAGCTCTATGTGTTTTTAAAATAATTTATAAATGGTGTCAAATTGTACTTATGGTTTCTTCATATTGCTTTTACACTCAACATTATGCTTTCTGAGATCTATTCATAGTGATAACTATGGGCTAAGGCATTGATTTTAACTTTTATATAATATTCTAAGATATGAATCTACCACTTTTATTTATCCTTTCTTACACTGAAGAATATTCTGGTTGTTTCTAATTTTTTGCTCTTACAAACAATGCTACAATGTACTTTCCTTAAGAATAAGGCAGATAAAAAGGTGAATTTGTGCATATATACATGTGTGTGCGAATATATGAGTGTATGCATGCACCTGCACATGTGTATGGCACACCCAGCAGAAAAGACAAAGACCTCTAAGCTTTGTGGTGTATACAAGTATACAATGTTTCAATAGTGACTCATAATCCAATAAGTAAGAATGGAAAAATATTTGCTGCATTTAGTAATTAGGAGGCCACTGATGATTTCAGTATGATGAGGTCCACTAGAGTGGTGAGTTCAGAAATCAGAGTGCTGTTGAAGAGGAATGAAAGGGAAGGAAGGGAAAATGGTAAGTTTACACTTCTATTTTGAGAATTTTATAAAAATAAGAGGACAAGAGAAATTCGATTGTCTTTAAAGCAGAGTTAGAGTTCAGAGAGGACATGATAGAAGATGCAGGGCATAGAAGTTCTTACTAATGAATAAGACTTTCTATCTCAGGGGGAATGATCAATTGAAAATAAGTCTTTGTCTTTCTGAATAAACTGGTTCTGCCATCTCATTTCACATAAAAT